TTTTAACAAGGGCTAAATGGCTCACCTGGTCTGCTTAAATGCTAAACTAGTGTTGTCCTATTCAAAGTAATTAATTGGAAAGCATTAGAGTTTGCCTGGATAAATTTCCAGGTTTCCGGTTTGCTTCATCTCCTTGTTCTTTCTGTGAAAGGGCTGCCAATCTGTACAGCAAATGAAATTGCTTCACCGTGGCCTTTTTTGAAAAGAATGGAAACACTGCAACGTGATCTGTGCTTCCCTATCATGTTCACATCCAAACAGTGCACCCTGTTGTAGAACATGAAAGTATGCAAGGACCAGAACATATGTTACAGTCCCCTCCATGGTGGGAGATCTGTAACCCAAGCGTATTATTTGAAAGTACTCGCTGCATGATTCCAAACCCCCTTTCCCTGCCCAAAAAAATATCATGCTTTAAGTCTCTACACTCCCACTCCATGTTCCTGACAGGTTCCTGATGGGGTGGCATAGACATTCACAGCATGATAAGGGTGAGTCATGCAGCAAATACTTGCGACAATATAATGTGAGTGGCTCTCACTCACCATAGGGAGTATCTTCATTATGACTGCAACATATGTTTTAACTCTAAATGCACTCAAGAGTCTTACAGACTAAAATCACATGCCACCTACATCTCAAGAGGGCTATCAGTCCATATTCCCTTAAAGCTGTTGATGAATAGATGACCTTCTATAGGAAATGTCACCAGGTAAGCCCAAAATTGCTTACAACCAGTTTCGATTGCGGGTTGACAAGGGAATTTTAACCTGCAGCCCCATCGACCCCTACTAGGTAGCAAGCCCCATTGAACATGGCGAGTTTTCATTCCATATATAGGAATGCTCTATTCATCCTCTAGCATTTACCAATATATCCTCGCAAATGTCAGGTGTTGGCTTTTGAATCCAAACCTGAGTGACCTCATTTGGAAATACCCTGCTAGGACTATATATAAAGGAACAGCCAACCACCTGAAATTGCTGCAGATAAACCGACCTATGATTAAGCAGTTAGGACGCCCTGGCATTGGAAAAGGGTGACTTACTTGATTTCTGTTCCTAGGAAAGAAGAACACACACTGGGGTGGCAGATTCCCCCCCCCCAGACAACCCCAACCTGGTGCCCTCTGGGTGTTTTGAATGACAATTTCCACCAGTCCCAACTAGCACAGTAGTGCTGGCTGTTGCTGACAGGAGTGGTAAACCAGAATATCTGAAGGGCACCAGGTTGGGGAAGATTGTTCCAAACCATTACTAGAATCTTAGAAAAACTACCCACCCCATCCATACTCAGAGACCCCTTCTGCTAGCTTAAAACACCCTCATCACTTTTTTTTTTTTTTTTAAAGGCAATTGGCACAATGGCGAAATCATCTGCATTATAAGAAGGGTTTTGCTTTTCTTGGTAGCAGCATGGAATGCCACCACCTCCTCTGTTCTGAGATGCTCTAGCAGTACCCAAACTCCCTTGTGCAGGGCTTTTTTCAGCCTGAACTCACCAGAACGGCATTCCAGCACCTTTCAGGTGGGCCCCAGAAGTGGGGGGGGGGGGGACAGACCTGACCAACTGCAGCAAATCTCCGTGCCTCTGGCTCACAAGGAGACCCTCCTGGGAGACCCTGTACAGGCTCTGGAGAGAGTCTCTGTGTGAGCCATAAGCATAGCAAAGATTGATAGATCCTCAATTTGCTGCAAAATGTGGAGAACTGATTAAAAATGGGGGGGGGGGGGGTTGATAAATTGCAAAAACTGAAATTAACAGATGTTTCCATCCTTAGTCAAGATCAGTACTCAATGCCCAATCCAGCAAATGATTATCCCTGTTTTGTGGTGTGGAAATCCTTGGATCACGAAATTGGCATTAGATGATCATGGGTGGTATTCAACAAAGACTAACTCACTGAAATTAACAAACACCACCAAGTTAAATTTATTCATTTGAATGTGTCTACTCTGAGTAAGTACTCGGTTCGAATCCCCGCAACGGGGTGAGCTCCCGTTGCTTGGTCCCTGCTCCTGCCCACCTAGCATTTCGAAAGCACCTCAAAGTACAAGTAGATAAATAGGTACTGCTCTGGCGGGAAGGTAAACGGTGTTTCCGTGTGCTGCTCTGGTTTCTAGAAGTGGCTTAGTCATGCTGGCCACATGACCCGGAAGCTGTACGCCAGCTCCCTCGGCCAATAAAGCGAGATGAGCGCCGCAACCCCAGAGTTGGTCACAACTGGACCTAATGGTCAGGGGTCCCTTTACCTTTACTCTGACTAAATATTGGTTGACTACCATTCTTAGTGTGCATATGACTCAACATCAGTATCGTCTTTGTAGAGGTCTGAAACCAGTCTGGCATGAAGCCAGTCTGAGATCCCCATGGAACACCCTCCCTTCAGATGTCAAGGAGATAAAGAACTACACAACTTTTAGAAGACATCTGATGGCAGCCCTGTATCAGGAAGCTTTTAATGTTTGATTTTTCATTATGTTTTTAAATATGCTATAACCTGCCCAGAGTGGCTGGGGAGGCCCAGCCCGATGAGCGGGGTATAAACAATAAAATAAATATAATATAAAGGTAAATGTGAAAATGGCAATAGAATGGTGCTAAGAAATAGGGTTGTTGTTGTTTTGCTGCTGCTGCTTTTGAGTTTCTATTCATGGAGTTATTCTTGTTTCTATGCATGGAGCTATTCTTGTAACTGCTAGAGCTGCCAAATTGCATAGGAATTTCTCCCCTTAACAAAATGATATTGCAGCCTGTTCCAATTCGCTAATACATAAATGAAGGCGGAAAGAAATTATGAGTAAATTCTCATCAACCTGATACAGAAATGCCTCTGTCATTAAGAACGTTCTTAATGAGACCATGAGAAGGCTTGTCTGCTTTCTGAGTTGTATCTCTTGCTTCATAATGTTGGTAAATTTGCAGCAATGATGCCATAAGAATGCACCTTAGCATATTGCAGTGGGAATTATAGCTCTCAGTACTAGCCATGGAAGAAATGTTAGTTGCTTCAAGTGGAATCCCTGATCTGGACCTTGGGCAGAGTAGAAATGAATGCTCTCCACCACAAGAACAAAGTTTCAAAGCCTTATTGCAAACAATCTTAAAATTGTAACTATCTTAAAATAAAGGTAAAGGGACCCCTGACCATTAGGTCCAGTCGTGACCGACTCTGGGGTTGCGGCACTCGTCTCGCTTTATTGGCCGAGGGAGCCGTGATGTGGCCAGCATGACTAAGCCGCTTCTGGCGAACCAGAGCAGCGCACGGAAATGCCGTTTACCTTCCTGCCGGAAGGTACCTATTCAGTAGATACCTATTTATCTACTTGCACTCTGAGGTGCTTTCAAACTGCTAGGTTGGCAGGAGCAGGGACCAAGCAACGGGAGCTCACCCCGTCGCGGGGATTCGAACCGCCAACCTTCTGATCGGCAAGTCCTAGGCTCTGTGGTTTAATTCACAGCACCACCCGCATCCCTACCTTAAAATAGTTGCAAAAATACAAAGTAACACATTGTTCTTAACACCAAGCAATGGGGTCCTGTCTTCCTTAACACAGTCCAGGAACATTTCTCTTTCTGCTCTTTCTGCAACTTGCCCATCATTTTGGAGCCTAGCTTCGACTACTACTGGCCCCCACCACCTGACAAAGATGCTGTGTTTTCAGGTTCCATCCCCTCCTTTGAGAGACCTGCAGCTCAAATTCCCAGGAAGAGACACCAAGTAGCCTAAAGACTGAAACATCCAGTCAAACATCCAACTGGAAACTGAAACTAAACCAGAATTTGTCAGATTATCAGTGTTCTATTGAAGTCATCAGACAACTGTGGGGTATATGGATTGAATAAAATGGTTCTTTTAAAGGGGGGATTTCGGTAACTTCTGGATGTTTTTTGGGGGGATTAAAGGTAAGTAACTGAATGCCTGGCCTTGTAATTTCAACTAATGAAGGTGTTGCATGGTCATCTGAAAAAATAATACATAAACAGAAAATATTAATATAACACAAAATAATGTTGTTGGGTGCCAAATAAACTTCATTTACTATTGGAAAATTGACTCTCTTATAGGGCTTTGGCTTTCTGATAGGAATAATGCCAGATTTCAGATCAATCTTCCTCTAAAACTAATCCACATCACTTGTGAATGAGGATCTTCAAATGCTGTAAATAAATATTAATTCTGGAGGTGTTTGTTAATTACTATGGAGATAATTAATATAGGTTGATGGAGCTTGTGATTGGTTGCCATTGTGTCACATGATATGAAAGAAGCATGTGAAAATCCTCCAGTTTTTTAAACTGGTTAGTGTCAGTTTCATTTTTGCAAAGATTTGTTATTCAATTAAACAGAGTAAATGAAGATGAAATTAATGAGGCTGAATTGAATTTTTAAAATGAGCCAAAGAAAAGCAAGTCAAATTGTCTAATTAAACAACTCAGAACTGGAGTCAACATTCAAAGGGAATACAAATTTTGATTCATATTATTTGTGAAGGCAAAATAAAAGTTGCTTTATGATTTATGAATAGACTTCTGGAATGATCTGCATAATTTCTTAGCACTTGGTAACTGTGATACTATGTGGTTACTCCTGAGTAAATCTACCTGGCCCGCTCTCAGAGGGAATCTCATACTTTCATCTGATTGGAAGACTCTGCATCTTGTTTTGTTCTGCTGTGTGCCATTCTGTCCCGATGTATGCATTTTGTGCAAATTTGTGTGCATGTTTTACATGAAATACACACTCTCTAGTGCTTTCCAGCACATTTGCCAACAAAAAATGTGTGTATCCTGACTACAGGTTAAAGATCTGGCTGGTGCACTGCAACAGCAGGCCAAAAGAATTTCTTTTCCATCCCTGTCCTGGAAAACACCCACCCCTGAAACAATAATTTAACCCTCAGTAGGCTTCAGACCATAGGGACGCGGGTGGCGCTGTGGGTTAAACCACAGAGCCTAGGACTTGGCACCTGACCAACTACCTACTCATCATCCTAAAGGCTGAAGCCATATCTGGGGAGGTGGCGGCACTCGCCTATGACCAGGCATTCAGGGAGCGGGCGGCAGAGGACGACACAGCTAGATGGGATATCAAAGATGATGACGTGTGGTCTGAGTTGGTTGCCCCATTCATCAAGAAAGGCAATGTGAAACAGTCTAAATACCAATCCAAGGCCCCCAAGACATCTTGCTGGGAGTATAACAACGGTGCCTGCTTCAGAGAGGAATGCCGATTTGCTCATGAATGCGAGCGCTGTAGTGGATCCCACCCCACCACAAAATGTTTTCAGGGGAAGAAGCTTTTTCGAGGCTCCCGCGGATCAGGCGCAGGCACATCTCATGACAAAAGAGAGGCTGGAGCCTCTACAGGCTCCCCTGGCACACAACAAAGCAAAAACAATGCCCGCAAATAGTGCTCTCCTTTCCCTAGCCCCCTCACCCATATCTCTATCAGCAATGCTGCCTTTTTTACACCAGTACCCCAATAAAGAGGCAGCAAAATACATTGAGGAGGGCTTTAGGGAAGGTTTCTGCATCCCAGTGGTAGGCACCCCTTCATGCACCAATCCCCCCAATCAAAAGTCTGTCCGAGATATGCCACACATTGCTGAGAAGAAGATCACCAAAGAACGCTTGCTGGGGCGAGTGGCGGGTCCCTTCACAGAACCTCCATTTCCTAACCTCATAGTGTCTCCACTAGGTATCGTACCTAAGAAGGCCCCAGGCGAGTTCTGATTAATACATAACCTTTCTTACCGAAAGGGTGGGTCAGTAAATGATGCCATTCCCCAAGAACAATGCTCAGTCAAATATGCATCCCTTGATCAGGCAATCAGGCTGGTTAGGGAGTGCGGCCCGGGCGCGCTCATGGCAAAATGTGACATCGAATCTGCCTTCCGTCTGTTACCAGTCCACCCCAGGGACTTTTGGTTGCTAGGTTTCAAATTCCAGGACCAATGGTACTTTGACAAAGCTATGCCCATGGGCTGTTCCATCGCATGCGCTGCATTTGAAACCTTCAGCACATTCGTGGAATGGGCCATGAAACTCAGGTCAGGGTCCCACCGCATATTCCATTACTTAGATGACTATTTTCTGGTCCAGCCAGCGGGCTCAGACGCATGCGCTAGGGCGCTAGCATGCTTCATTCAGCTGGTGGCTGAACTGGCATCCCGTTAGCAGCAGACAAGACCAAAGATCCAACCGCTGTCATCTTATATCTAGGTATTGAACTGGATTCTGTCAGCCAAACTTCTCACCTGCCCCTGGCCAAAACTCACCACGTTGAGGGAATTGATAACTACCATGATGGCCCAGAAAAAGACCACGTTGCATCAGGTCCAGACACTCTTAGGACACCTCAATTTTGCATGCAGGGTTATCTCACCTGGTCGTGCCTTTGGCGCACGCCTAGCCCGTCTCACAGCTGGTGGTGTTGCCCCCCATCACCACATCAGGGTCACCCGCACCATAAAGGAAGACCTCAAAATATGGCTGACCTTCCTGGAAAGTTACAATGGGGTGTCCTTTTGGCAAGATTGGCTGCTGCCTAAGGAACAGCTACAGGTGCACTCTGACGCCTCTGGTCGCTTTGGCTTTGGCGTCTACTTCAGGGGTCATTGGTGTGCGCAGCCTTGCCTGGCATCTTGGCACGCGGAGGGCACTACACGCAATTTAACTTTTCTTGAGTTCTTCCCCATCCTAGTGGCTCTCCGTGTTTGGGGGCACCTCCTCAAGGACACCAGGGTGTGCTTCTGGTCGGACAACCAGGCGGTGGTAAGAATCATTGCAAAACAATCTGCAAAATCCAACAGGGTAATTCACGTGCTCCGTCTCTTCGTGCTGGAATGTCTGAAAGGTAACATCTCCTTTCCCACAAGGTTCATCCCGGGCCTCAATAACGACAGTGCAGATGCCCTGTCTCGCTTTCAGATGGAGCGTTTTCGCGACCTAGCACCCGAGGCCGATCAACTCCCAGAAGCCTTTCCGGAGGACCTCTGGGAACTTGGACGAGAGAAGTGACAGCAGGAGTTCTGAGCACCCTTGCACCATCAACACTGCAGTCCTACACCAGAGCATGGTCCCAATTTGAGGGGTTCAGAGATAAGTTTGGTTTACGATGCAGACGCGCAGCCAAGGAGTCTGATGTTCTAAAATATTTGGTTCACCTAAAGCGTAGGGGCATGGCCCTTAAGACCATCAGCCTGCACAGGGCTGCTATCTTGTACTTCAGCAACTGTTTTTGGCTCCCAGACCCCTGTAACACTTTCCATGTAAGGAAGCTTATTGCAGGGTGGCGTCACACTCACCCGCCCATTCCAGATAAGAGGAGGCCAGTAACCATTGAGACCCTCCGGCTGATATGGGATGCGCTCCCCAGTATTTGCTGGTCCAACTATGAGGTTAGGCTCTTCAGGGCGGCCTTCTCCCTGGCCTTCTTTGGTGCGCTGCGTATTGGAGAGTGCGTTGGGGGCACACTGTCACCTCATCACAGGGGCTTGTCTGTGGCTGATATCAACCTTGACAGGTGCATGATACACATCAAAATCCGAGCCTCCAAAACCGATCAACTAGGTAGGGGTTCCATGCTAAGTTTAGCCTCCTTCCCACACACTGGACCATGCCCTGTCTCAGACACACGCAAATTCCTGAAGGTATGCCCTCCAGGACCAGGCCCCCTCCTCATTCACGCATCAGGCCGCCCCATGACCCGTTGCCAATTTGTCTCAATATTGCGTAAGGCCATCCATGTTTGTGGAGGCGACCCGGCACAATTCTCTGGGCATTCCTTTCATATCGGTGCAGCAACCACAGCAGCTGCAAGTGGCCTCCCGGCAGAACACATAAAAACAATGGGGCGGTGGTGTTCAGCTGCCTCCAAAAGCTACATTAGATACAACCCGCAGGCACTGACAGATACCATATAATCCTTTCTTTCAGGCTCGACCCCCAAACATGTGTGGATCTTCAGCCACAGCATAGTGCATTGGGCGGCCGCCCATGCCGCCACCGGTCCATCCGGAGAACATCTGGGTCTGCAGCCAAAGGTCTCCATTTCCTGGTTCGGACAACGTGGAATGCGATGGGATGCCCTGCTCCCTCGGTTGCGTCACGAGCTTGCGTTTCGCCACCCGCCAAATGCGGTTGTGTTCCACTTCGGCGAAAATGACTTGGTCATTCATAAAAGCATAATTCTTATCAAAACAGTGATTGCAGACCCGGAAAGCGTACATGCCACTCACCCCAATATCATGATTTTCTGGTCAGAACTTCTGCCACGCTTACATTGGCATGGCAACATCAAACCCACTAGACTTAATTACACTGTTGAAAAAATCAATAGGGCAGTGCGCTCTGCAACCACACGTATGGGAGGTCGGGTCGTGAAACACACCAACATTAAAGTTTACATGAAGGAGCTATTTAGGCCCGATGGCGTGAATCTATCGGACCTTGGTAACGAGCGTTGGCTGAGCGACATCAGGCATGGCCTGATTGGTTGGCGGATGGTGAAGGGTCTTTTCAGATGTAGGTAGTCTTGGCGGCGAGACGGCAATTTTGCGGTCTCGGGTGGCGGTATCAGGCCTTGGGCGGAATCCTTTTGTCCATCTTCCTCTTTGCAGCGGCGATACCAGGGTTCCCCGTTAAAGGGTTTCTGAAGGGAGGCTTTGACCGTACGCCGAAAGGTCGTCATTGCTCTCCCCTGCGGCAGCGGCGTAACGGGGGTGGCTATCTCTGCTTGAACATATGTTCTCCAGAGCCAGCCCATCCCCCACACAAACACTGGATAACCCTGATGCTCCCTAGGTCCCCGGCTGGGGACTGGGGAGTGAAAACGCCCAATACCTGAGCCAAGGTCTACCCACATTTGAAATTTAATAAAGTTGTGGCCAATTTAATCCCATAGCACGTTGTCTTGAGTCGTTATTCCGCATGACGGGGGGGCACTCAGGATCTGGGGACTCCGCCTGTCCAAGCAAAGAAGGCTGATCACCGAAGAAGTGATGCTTTTGAATTATGGTGCTGGAGGAGACTCTTAAGAGTCCCATGGACTGCAAGAAAATCAAACCTATCCATTCTTAAGGAAATCAGCCCTGAGTGCTCACTGGAAGGACAGATCCTGAAGCTGAGACTCCAATACTTTGGCCACCTCATGAGAAGAGAAGACTCCCTGGAAAAGACCCTGATGTTGGGAAAGATGGAGGGCACAAGGAGAAGGGGACAACAGCGAACAAGATGGTTGCATAGTGTTCTTGAAGCTACCAGCATGAGTTTGACTAAACTGCGGGAGACAGTGGAGGACAGAAATTCCTGGCGTGCTCTGGTCCATGGGGTCATGAAGAGTCGGACATGACTAAAGAACTAAACAACAACAACAAGGGGGAAATGCCAATGGCTTTTCAGAAGGAAGGAGCAACAGGTGAGAGCAGTATCCAAGCTTTTACTTCTGATATTGTGCTGTTATCTGAAGCTCTGTCCTGCTTTGCTGTTGCTGTTGCATTGTGACTCTATTATTTTAGTTGTTACAGTTGGCTGCTTTTAATCAGTAATGTTGCATTGTATTTTCTTACATTGTACATTGCCCCGTCCTCGTTAAGAGGAAGGATAGTTTATTCACAACATTATTAACAACTGTGGAATAATAACACAGTCCCTTAATTAAGTTTGCATTGGTCCTGGCTTTTTTTAAAAAAATCTGTTAGTACAAACAACATTCTGATTCACTGTTGTTGTTCTGTGTAAAAATGAATTTTGTCAGCCTTCTGATTATTTGCAATTATTAAAAGCATTTGCATTCATAACCAATTATGACTTGGCAAACCACATCTGCAAAATTGCCACATCTTCACAGCTGGTAAAGATATACTCTTGTTCCCCTTCTCTCTCTCTCTTGAAATTATTCATCAGTATGAACATCAAAACAAATGTATAGCAGGATTGTGGCTACCTCATTGTATCATCACCCAGCAAAGATAGGTGCCTAACTGGGGACCACTGATGTTCTAATGGCTCACGAATATCAGTTCCTGATGCAATCCTGAGTCCAAGTGTCTCCCCTTCTCTCTTGATGCACAGACCATCGTGAAAGCTAGACTTTAAAAGTGGGATGGTTTCTTTGGCCCCCATCACCCCAATGCATCCAGAGACCTGGCCCTTCCTACCTCAGGAAATCCAGGGACGGTGCTTACCTCAGTGTGCTTTCCTGGGAAGGAGAGCCATTGCCAATTGGTGGAGGTGATACTAAGCAGTAAGCAAAGTGGGGCAATGGACTGATTAAGTTTAAGGCAGCTTCAGAGAGGCCTTGGCCCCAGGTACAGATTTGGGGGGGG